AAAAAGCTCTCAAGCTAAGTTCTTCGTTGGTCAGTTAGTAATAACAATGTATGATGTGCATTTCTCTCGTAATGCCGTTTGTCTTGTGCAGGATCACAGGCATCGGGACAGTAATCGCGAAGGGGCCTAAAGTTGGGAAAACTCTTTTCCATTACTATTTCCTTCCTCGTATCTCTTCATTTTGTACTACAGTATTAGACAAAAGTGAACATATGGCATAGACGTTAGGTCATCCTAATCCTGTTTATTTTGTCTCATTTATCAAATTCTGGTTTCTTTGGGCAATAAAGAATTCCTTGCTAAGGTTCCTTTTGATTGTTCCCACATGTAGAACGTTGGTAAGAGCAAAAACTTCCTTTTCCTTCTAATGGTAGTCGCTGTGCCAATGTTTTGATATAATTCATAGTGATGTCTGGGCATACGCCCGTTACTTTCTCAGTTGCTCCAAATACAAGTACTTGTGTGAACATTTATGTTGATGATTACAGAGATATACATGCGGTATACTTTCTTCATTCTAAATCTGATGTATAGATTCTGTTTTTAAAGACCTTTTTAGCCTATGGTTAAGACTCCAGTTTTCTACTTGTATTAAAAGTATTACGAATCTGATCTGGAGGAGAATGATATGTGATCATGAATCAGGAAATTTCTGTTCGTGAGAAGGGATTGTCTCACAACAGTTCAGTGTCTTAACACCACAACAAAATGGACGTTGCTAGCGTAAAGCAACATCGTCATCTTTGGATGTAACACCGAACTTTGTTTAATTAGGATCTTCAGTTCCATCTAAGATTTGGCGTTGAAGGCCTTATCTACTGCAACTTATCTACATTAATAGAATGCCTTCTCAGGTATTTAAAGTCTGACTCCCCTATTTTCGTCTTATATCAGTCAATATCCTAATTATCATGATCTTTAGACACATTTTGGTTGTTTTGTTTTGTTCATCTACACCCTTGTCATGACGCTCATAAACTTTCCGCTCAATCTGTTAAATGGGCTTTATGGTTATAATTCTTCTCAAAAGGTTTTTGTTTGCTGATGATTCCACTTCTAAACAAATTTCGTGTTTCTCCGCAATGTTATTTCTTTGAGGCATCAATATTTCTTTCCTAATCTTGCTTTAAGTCTTCTTCTTACTTTCTCCCATTCTTCCAATTTTTTGAGATTAACAATGCTTTCCTAATCGGTTAAGCCTGGATTTGTGTATGGGACGACGTCAACCACTGCCTCTCCCGAGACTGAATCCCTTTCATCTATGTCTGATCTCCTGAATCTACTCTGCGGTCGCTCTACCAGAATATCCAACCTCCAAGGACGGTATGTTCCTCATAATCCCTGCTGGATATTCTGCCACTTTATTTGATATTTCTATTCCATCTTGTTATTCACAAGCACATCCAAGAATGGAATGTTGGCAAAAAAGCCATGCAGATGAACTGTCTAAGCCTTCCACGACAATCATACATGGGAAATTCTTCCTTGCCCTCAAATGATTAAGCCCATGGAGGTAAATGGTGTTATTCATCAAGCTTCGTTCTGATGGAAACTTTGGATCGATATAAAAGCTCGATTGGTTGCTCTTGGCAATAAGCAAAAGTACGAGCTGGACTATGAGGAGACCTTCTGCTCCAGTTGCAAAGATGACTACCGTCCGTATCTATCTATTTGCAGTTGCTGCCTTCTCAGGGTTGGCCTCTGTCATCAAATGGCATGTCAAAATCCTTTTCTTCATGCTGATCTTAAAGAAGATATTCTATATGGACACTTCCACTGGGTTTGACTTTCCTCATCTTCAACACATGTGTGTAAGTAAAAAGATCTCTGTAGTTGGCCTAAACAAGCTCACGTGCCTGGGATGACAAGTTTCATTCTAGTTACTTCAGTTTTCATTGGCAAAGAAATATGATCCCTTTGTTTCTCCACAGAGTTCGGCTGGTTTTGTTCTACTCCTATGTTTATAGTAGATGAACATTATTATCACTGCACTAAGCCACATCAACAGTCCTCACTCTTCAAACAATTCTCTTCAAAACTTCTTTTAATATGAAGGGATCTTGGTCCACTTACATATTTCTTAGGGCTGGAAGTTCACTATGATTGATTCTGGGATATTTTTGCATCAACACAAATATACTACAGATTTGATTAGTTTAGCCAGGCCTTCAAGATTGCCGATCCCCAGGTTTGATACTCCCTTTGGGAATTAAACGTCAAGATCATAGTCTTCAAAAAGAACGCGAGATCTTCTTCCTGAATCCACTCTTTTATCGCAAATTAGTTGGCAGTTGAATTAGTCTAACTGCATTTACAACGGCCCGATATTTCTTTTGCAGTTCCAGCAAGCAGTCAATTCATGATAACTCCGCGTCACTTACATCTGGTTAAGCAGTTCTCGAATCAGTTCTGCTATCTTCTTGGCACATCTTCTCGGGGTTTATTCTTCCTATGGCTTCTCCCATAACGCCCTTGTTGTTACAGATGATGCTTGATTGGGCCGGCTGGTGCCAGACCACTCGACGCTCTATAACTCGGTTTGGGTATGTTTGTATGTTTCTTGGCGATTCTTTGATATCTTGGAAAAGTAAGAAACAAGACCGTGTTTCAAAATCTTCTACTGAGTCTGAATATCGGGCTATGTCCGCTGCTTGTTCCGAGATTGTTTGGTTACGTGGGTTACTTGCTGAAATTGGCTTTCCTCAGCCTCATTCTACTCCTCTACATGCTGATAACACTAGTACCATCCAAATTGCTACCAATCCAGTTTTTCATGAACGTACCAAACATATCGAAGTCGACTGTCATTCTATTCGAGAGGCAGTAGATACCGATGTCATTTCTCTTCCACATGTCTCCACTGCTCTTCAAATTGCTGATGTCTTCACAAAATCTATGACACGACAACGTCATCAATTTCTCGTTGGCAAATTGATGCTTCTTGATCGCCCAGCATCAATTTGAGGGGGGATGTTAGTATAATGTTAGTATACTATTGTAACTCGTTGGCAAATTGATGCTTCTGGACGGCCACCAGCATCCATTTGAGGGGATGTTGTATATGTAGAGTATACTATTGTAATTAATTGACTATACTATTGTAATAGTAGCTGTTAAATAACCATTCAACTTAGGGAACATAAATTAAGGCTGTAAATGTCAACCAAATTAGGAGACAATCGGCAGTCAGAGTAGGAAACATATCTAGGCATCAATATAGGGAGCCAATTAAGGCTGTGTTAAATTGCCATCCATAATTAGGAGGACCATATGGGCATCCAGTTAGGGCTGTAACTTTAGCGAATTTATTCCCAAATCATTGTGATACTTCAGGGATACTTCAGTCTATTTAAACCCAATCAGCTTGTGGGAATAAACAAGCAAATTTCTATCAAAATTCCATTGAAATACAGCAAGTTTTGTCAACACAAACACTCATCCTTCCATTTGACAATTCAGGTTACTGCCCATGGTTCACTGTTCATGGGTACTGTTCATAATACTGTAACAGACCCAGAATCCCTTTTTCTTATTTGATCTGTGCCTCTTTAATCTATTCTCATGCAAAACCCTAATTATTCTCTTAAAGACCTATTAATTCTAGGATTCTAGCAAACCAAAAACTCAACCTTAAAACACTATCCCCCCTAGCCATATGTTACAAATCCACCATGGTCAACCACCAACTGATATTTAGGACAGGATACAAGCCTTAGAATTTAAGATCAGCTTCAATGTCTTGTTTAAGAAGCATCCGACTTGATCAGAGAAGAATGAAACATCTTTTGTAACTAAATTGATACATTTCTCTAGCCTATTCAGTTTTACTATATGAATAGGTATACCTACCAGGGTATCATTTATATCCACCACGTTTAATTTGAACATCCTTAACCTAGGTGCCATACCATAAGTTCACCTGATAATTGTAACATTTTTTGTTACGGGACAGTGATACCAACCAACTTGAAGGTAACTTTATGAATCCCCACCAAAAGGTAAGAAGGTCAAACTGTTATCTTGATATATACTCGGGATAAGAAAGTTAAATGTTACAACTATCGAGTGAACTTATAGTATAGCACCCAGAGTAAGGAAGTTCAAAAGTTAAGTATATCTACCAGGGTATAAAATATATGATAGGGTACTTGACTCTTAACTTTTGAGCTTCCTCCCCCTCTCCCCCACCCCCCCCCCACCCCCCTCCCCCCCACCCCCCCAAAAAAAAAAAAAAAAAAAAAATACAGAAAAAAAAAATGCCGAACGTAACAAATCCACCATGGCCAATCATCAACTGATATTTATGAGCGTGGGACAGGGTACAAGCCTTAGAAATTAAAATCGGCTTGAATGTCTTGTTTAAGAAGCATCTGACTTGATCAGAGAAGAATGAGACATCTTTTGTAACTAAATTGACACATTTCTCTTATCTATTCAGCTTTACTACATGAGCATATTTAACCACAAAAAAGGTCCAGAAGCATGTATAATCTAATTTATTTAGCATATGTCAGCTTTTCCTGTATGTGAGTTTAAGGTCATATTGAAAAAGACCGTGGATAGAGAAATGTGAAGAGGAAAGATAAATACATTGTTTTATCATTACCGAAGGCATTTACATAGAAAAAAAAGTTTCAAGCCAACGCCTTCTCTCATAGGCCAAACAAAAGGGATAATGGACCAGGACATGGAAATACTATACTTAGGTGCAATGAAACAGAAAATTGAAAATAAAAGCCACCAGAAAAACTCACAATTTTGTATTTTTCAAGTGGTAAAAACCCATTTCTTTAATCTGCTCCTCTTTTTTGTTTCTCTCATTCCTAAGTTCAAAGCATTCTCGCTCCTGAAAGGGTAAATAATCATAAATAGAATCCCTTCTAAAATGATTCTTTGTGATTAGCAGCCAAACCAATGGCAAAATAACACCAAAAAGGAGAAAAGCTAATAGCTTTTAGAAAAACGTAAGAAAATTTAGGAGTCATAATCAAAAGCAAAAGCAAACAATGGAACAACCAAAACAATGGCCAACAATGCCAGATTACGCATGAGGAATCAATCCTTTGAAAAGAAAATTCATTGTAAATAGAAGATATGATACCACTGAAATTGAATCCAACATTATCTCATTATGATTTATTTTCATATAACATCATCAACCATGTTTTTAGACAAGATATGAAACTTAAATCCAGTTGGTTCTGTATAACAATTCTGCCACAAGAGGCCTCCATAACCTCTTAGACTGCTAAAAGGTCATTGTGAATTGTGAAACAAACAAAGATTTATTCACCTTTTGTAAATCATAACTTGATAAACAAAGAAATTCATCACTCTATCATAAATTGGGTTTCAGCAGTAAGAACATGTATTCAAACATTAAGCAAGAGGAAGCCTAAATAGTACTGTCAAAAAACAAGGTACTGCAAAAGAACAATCTTATCATCACAGTCAACTCCATAATTGAGTAAGCAAACATTCACAGTAGAATAAATTTATTCTGATTCAGACTTGAACTGCAAGGAAAAATAAAAGTAAATCTTTGATATAAAGAAGAATTAGGTGTAGTTGTAGAATGCACATACCAGGTCCAAAAGCTGCTTGGAGACATGACCCAACTCTCTCTGTAATTTGCAATGGTTACATCAGAATTCATCATTATCATGGAAAAACTCTAAATTGTTTCTAATTATCGAAAAGAATAAGGAAGAAGCGTTCCTCATAAAACCCATATAGAAAAAAAAAAAGGAAAAGTTTTGCAATTTCACCTAAAAGCCAATAAAGGTTCATACTTGTGCACTCGATATAAATAGATAGAAAATTCTTCGCTGAACTTAGACTTTTTAAATTGAGCAAAAAAAAAAAAAAAAAAAAAAAAAATGTATAGTTTTCTCTCTTTTATACCAAATATCATGGCAAACAAATGCTAAAAAAAAACAAAAAAGTAAGCATTATCCAATATTATCTCATCCCATATTTCAAAAAGAAAAATAAAATTTCCAGGCCCGTCAGTGCAACCATTCCTTTACTTTGTTCAATAGAGTATTGTTTCCAAGCACATCTTTCTTACACTTTCTAATCAATCAAACAAACAAACCCGAGAATTGAAAAGTGAAACCATAGAAAAGAATTAAAAACCCTAAATTGGAAACCTGTAAAGATTTATAGTAGGCCAATGGTTCCTAATCTCAAAAATAAATAAACAAACAAAAATAACCTTTAAGCGGTCAATCTCTCGGTCTTTGGCGTCATCTTGAGGAAGAGAAATGCCACTGGAGAAAAGATCAACTTTGCTGTCGTCAAAAGTAACAGGCCTGTGAGAGAGTTGCCGCGGAGGAGAGTAACTCAGATGATGTTGCTGCTGCTGCTGTTTGCTGGTGCGTTCTACCTCTTGTAAAACCTGGTCTACGAAATCTGGGTCCCAATCTTCAAAATCATCTTCGCTTATTCTTTTTCCCTCCATTTGTTTTGCATATAGGTAGGGGGAAACAGAGAGGATATCAAGACCCTCGGACCTCAATTCAGTTTGACATTAGTAAATAGTAGTAGTGATAGTAAGCGCTGAGTGGTAGGCTATCGGTGCACTGGTTTTCAGTATTGTTATGGGACAACTAGTTACTAGCATGGGACAATTTGCGTTTTAAGTTTTTTATTTTTGCTGTTTTGATGTTTAAATAAAAAAAAAAAATTGTTGTTTAGCTAACCATTTAAAAAAGTATTTTGACCATCTAGGCTAGATTTGTCATTTGACACGAACATGATTTTTTTGTCATATTACCATCTATCTATAATCTATAATCCCACGTCTATCGTCTATGATCTATAATATATATATAAATCTAGAAAGATGATGTGCTTAACAAATTCATCTTAGTATAACACAAATTAAAGATTTAGTATTTTATCATAACAAATTAGAATCTACGATGGATGGAAAGATGATGTGAAGGATTTTATTCGAATTCCAATGTAAAAAGCGGCTCATATAGCATTGTCAGACCCCTCTATAATCTATAATTTATATTTATAACATGCTAGTCATTTTTATGATATGCATTGCACGTTTATTATATTCGTTGATACTCATTTTTTGTATTATTTTTATTTTTTTATTTATATAATATAAGCATAAACTTTTGTCTAGATTAAAATAAATAAAAGTGGTTAATTTGTATTTCATTTTATCGTACAAATTACTTATAATGATAATAGTACAATAGCGGTATTACTTACCCAATGTTCTAGAGAAAAGAATATATGCAAATACACACAAATTATTGAAACTTCAAAAAGAGACCCAAAACATAAATATTTAGCTCTAGTTTTTTTTCAGTTTCCTAAATAATATTTTTTTTCAAGTCAAAGAGATTTAAAATATAAGTGTCACGATCCAAAATCATGGACCGGACCGGCATTAGGGCCTAGGTAAGCTTAAGACTCCGAGACCCATAGTAAGCCTAAACTACAAAGTCCATAGACGCAAGCAAAATCCTAGGAACAGTAAGCCCATATTATCTTATATATAAACATCTAGTAACCACATAATCTTCACCCACTATCAAACATCTCATTCATAGTAAGGCTACTTGTCATACATGCATTTAGGTAATTAATTAAGACCTTCATGTAACAGACTGATTTTTTTCTTTTAGTGTCGGTAATAGTGATTTATCGGTCCGGGACTTGGTATTATTTTAGTCCGGAAAAATTACTATGCATAGTTAATATTTTATTTACTATTTTTGGAGCATGTTTGCATGATTTAGGTGAGGTATATTAATGGAATATTTCTGGAGGAATTAAATATTAAATGCATAAAATTTATTTCTGTCGTGGTATTAGTATTAAAGAATAAGGATTATTTTAGTGGAGTTAATTTATTAATTGTGTTAGAAAAGAAAGAGAAATTATTTGAGGAAATATTAAAGAGCATTAAGAGAGAGACTTAACTTGGGACTTGATCTTAGCCACACATTTGCATGATTTTAGGCAAGTCAAGATTTGACTGGCACTTACCACAACATTTGTCTTTCTCTCTATCCCTCTCCAATACCTTCCTTCTTCTTTCATTTTCTTCATTTTCTCACATCCAAATTACCACAAACACCTAATTAAATGCATTAAAATTAAGGAGTAGATGTGATTAAAAGCAAAAGTGAGAGTTACCATTGAAGCAAGTAAGTTTGTGGTTTTTGAGAAATAGAATTGTTAGGTTTTTTTTTTAAAAGAAATCCCATTAGGTTAGAACATGTTATTGGAGCAATTAAAATCATCTGATGCGCAACTATTTCTAAACAAGTTTTGCTTGAATGTGATTTTTTCATGGTGCCTTTAGTTAACCATCCTCAAAGGGAAGAGAAAGCCAAGGAGTAGGCTTTCCAACGATTAAAAGTAGTGCAATCATAATTCAACTTGTTAAGTGTTACATGGTAGGGATATTTGATATCATTTTGGGAACTTTGTATGTTTTGTTGAAATGCTGAATTTATTTAATGTGAGACTGTTCTGCCTGGAATTGGAACTCATTTGACCCCTTATACCCATTGTTTCTGGACGTCTTCAGAAAGTTGTAGCCATTCTCAGCTTCCAAAACATATTCTTAATGTCTAATTTCAATACTTGTACCAACTTTAGATTGAAAATACCAAAACTGGTTCTGTTATGAGTTCTTGAACTCCTGTTAGTATCCGAATATTATTGTCCATTTTGTCACAACGCATATCAAAGCAAAATAGACCTGCTATTTCTTTCAAAAGTTTTGAGACAGGCTGTTCCTGTCTAGTGATCGGTTCCAACCCATTCCGCTTGGGTGTTCCAGCAAATTGGGCACTGACTGGCCATGCATCAGACTTATGGGCTGAAAACACGGACACAGTAACAACTTGACGTCTCGCATCGTATGGGAGGGTCCTGAGTCCCACCATGCATTTCTCCAAACTTGGATTTTCGTGCTCTCAACATGTATAGACATCTTGGGACTTTCATATTCTGGCTCAGATGATAAGAATCCAGGGTTTCTGGGCATATCTGCCGATAAAAGCTGCCGTTTAGCTCCCTCATGTCTTGAGAATTTCACTTCGTATCATTCCTTCTGATTGATTTCATTGAAATGTGTGAGTGTAAGTTAAGGGATTATCAAGGAAACATTTTGGAACTTGGTTCTGCGAATCTGAATCAGGTCTGATCTGTTGGTCTGTGTTCTGAGCTTTTGTTTGTTATCTTACTCTGTGATCTGGGCTGTGGTCCCTTCTGAACATTTGTAGCCATTTGTCTTAGATTTCTAATGAATCTGATTTCATTCAATTTGAAGACCCATAACTCAAATTATGTGTTAAAAATCCAGCAGAGGTCAAGTTTTGGAAATGCTGAAAAGTTCTTCATTTATGTACTTTTATACTATATTAAGTATATATACATTTATAGTGTTTTGAGTAAAACTTTTGAACTGATGAGTACTAAATGAAGAGGTTTTGAAATGAAGAGGTTCTTGATTAAGAAATATTACTTTTGTGAATCATTTGATTTGGGCTCTAACTATGCAAGATTGAGACGTGGTATTGAGAGAGGATTCTTTGGTTATTGTGAACTTGATCATATGCAGGGTTAATCAGCCCTTATAAATAGGCGGACTTTTGTCAATATTTTTTACTTTATACTAGCCCCCACCCCCCCGCGCCTTGATTTGTGTTGAATGGGGGTGGTGCTTCATAGGCCACGGTGGTTGCTTCATTAGGCCACGAATTGTGTGATGGGGGTGGGCTTTCATAGCCACGGTGGTGCATTTCATAGGCCACAGAGTAAATGTAGATGGGTGGCGCAATTATAGGCCACGATCAAAATCTGCTTGATGTTCATCTCTATTTATTACTCTTGCATTTCTTCAAGATTGACGGAAAATTTAGAAATAAATTTATGTATTAAGCAGTTAACAAAATACAAAGTTCTATATGCATATATGCATATCTTTTACCATATTTATTTATTTATTACTCTTGCATTTCTTCAAGATTGCTGCATTTATTAGTGATTAGTTCATTTCTTAAATATTGTGCTTATAAGGATTTTTTTCTTTTTTTATCACGCGCAGGTTAGGAGCGGAGGGTGTTCTTCAAGACCAGAGGACAAGCATCAGAGTAGAGATCACATTTTGGGTAGGATATTTTGTAATTGTAATGGTGATTTTTGGCATGTAAATATAAAGATTAGTATATGGAAGGTGTAATATAATAAGTAATATGTTATAGAGTTATGAGTATTGAAGGAAATAACATCTTAATAATATTTTTGGTGTATGAATGAATTATATATCCTTGAAAGGAATGTGTTAGCACACATGATCGCGTATGTTGAGATATTTAGAAGTGCTGTGGTAGTTATGTGAAATTGGAGTTTTGGGGTTTGGGAGAAATTGGAAAGTGTGTATATTTTCTTTTGGTGTGGCAAGTTAATTCTTTTAGGAGGAAACTCTTTGCGAAATTTCGGTAGGAAATTCCTTAAATAATATTTTCGTTAACAAAAAAAATAAAAAAAAAACAAAATGTTATTATTGCCCTCCCTTAGGTGAAAATATAACCACATTAATTTGTGATCTAGCTTTAAATAAGTGATCATAAGACGTGCTCTGGCACCGATTGTGGCATCCGCCTGCTGGTTCTCGCGGATTGGCCGGTGGTGTTACACTTCAATGAGCCAAGATCAGATTAAGAAATAAGTGACATAAGACGGTGCTCTGGCACCGATTGTGGCATCCGCCGTCTGGTTCTCCGGGATTGGCCGGTGGGTGTTACACTTCATGAGACCAATAGATTAGCATACTCATTTTGATACATGAGTATGGATATCTAAATCATACAGCTGCAGAGTTAATAAAAATTAAGGATAATAAAAGCCTTCATAAAAATTACATGTTTTAAGTAATTACTGAAATTAGAGATTTACTTTTATAGCCCTGCGGACAAGGATGCAGAGCTTTATGTCATGCCCCACATAGCAGGCAGGCGAAATTGCGAGATAGCATCTGAAATGGCTTGCCAATGTGCGAAAAATTCTGGAAGCCTCCAGAATTTGCGGAAAAGGTTTGGAAGGCTAAAAATGGGTTATCACAATGACCCAAGACATGTGAAGCCTCAAGCCCAAAGGTGGAAGCCTTAAGCCCAAAGGTGGAAGCCTTAAGCCCACTAGGTATTTGATGAAATGCCTAGGACATTCTAGAACATTCCAGCACACAGATGTTTGATGAAATGTCTCAACCAATCTAGAATGTTCCCTTGTAATCTCCACCATACTTTTTTGTAGGCAAATTATAGCCACACATTGAGGAGGTGGAAAAGCCTATAAATACCTCTCCTCCCTCATTTATAATCATCATGTACAAAGTGATTCAAAAGCAATACTACAAGCTCTTCCAAAATTCCCTTGTGCTCTCTTCCATACTTAGCTTCTATTTTCGCTCCAACACACTTCAAGGCTTACTTAGGACATCCTAAACACTCAAGGGCGACTAAGTGCCGCACGGATAAGCATAGCTAAATCCTATCTCCTTGACTGGTATCAGAGCAACAGTTTCATCCTAGGTACCAAGCCTTTCATCTTGACTTATGGCGAACAAGCAAGCCAACGTGGTTAT